GACTGGCCACACACACCACAGCCTGAGCTGCCCCCCACCCCTGGGCCAGGTGGGACCAAGGGACCTGCCACAGGCTGGATAAAATCCCTTGGTGGGTCATATTTTGCCTGCCTCTGCTCTCTGATTTACTCCTTTAGAGAAGAGGTATCAAATTCATCTGGCCCTGCAGGCTGGATGAAAGGTGCAAGGCAGGCCCATGGACTAGATCAGGTCCACGATCCTGATCAGGTCCATGAACCCCATACCCCTGCATGACGTGCATATCCCAGGCCCTGCACATGCTTCATGCCACACATAGGTCAACTCTGAGACCCAGGGGCAGCACAGGAAGCCAGATGATTGAATTTGGTGGGACAGATCCAGCCTGCAGGCTGCATCTTTGACACCCCTGCTTTAGAGAACATAATTCTAGTTCCTTGTAATCCTTCTAGTTCCTAGGTCCTCTGGTGATGATGTAACATCTCCAGATACCTTCGAAAATGGGCTGAATTTCAGTATCCTAATTTTTCTTTTTGTGTCTCAGTGGGTATGTCTACATGTTCATTAATGTGCCGTAGTTACTGCGCATTAAGTTTAGTAGTTGGATAACTAAGGACTAAATCAATGCGCAGTAACTGGCACTACTGTGCAGTAGCATCAATGCAAAGGTTTTTACAGATGTTAACTGTGCAGTAGCCTAATATCGATGTCATTGTGTTGTTGTGTAATTAACAGGTATTTTGTTTCTCTTTTCCCTAAATAAATCTTTAAGAGATAGAGGGAATAACAAGAGTTGCTGAATCCAGAACATTTTTGATAATCTGGACACTTTATTTAGACATCCAAACTATTATAAAAATCCTGCTCCAACTGTGGGGGTCAATTTCTTCTGAAAATATGGCCCTACCTTAACATCATGTTAACTACAATGTAACCACAATATTCTGCGTCTTATCCAGCTCCTATTGGCGTCAATAAGTCTTTTTTTATTGACTTCACTGAGAGGTGGATCAGGCTCTTTTATTTAGAAATTTCTTGACAATTTTTGCTTTTAAATAAAAACCTATTTTTGAATTATAGTGCTTGAGGCTCAAGCACTGGATTCTTGTTTATACTTTCATTCATAATAAAAGGAACCAAATCAGCTTTAGGGTTTATAAAGATAGCAAGCAAGCAAACCATCTCTAAAAATGTCCTCTAAAATAAGATCATTATAGTAGGTTGGCTTTTCATTTCATTTTCAAATAAATACTGTAGATTAGATAGTGTGTGTGACTAACCACAACTGGAACATACAAAAAGTATTAAAAATATAAACAGTAAGTTTGTCTACAACTCAAAGCATACAGAAATAAAACCTACTAGCAATCCTTTAGATTATACTCTGTAGTGTGGTTACATGACCACAAATAATAAAGTAGGGCTCAGCTTCACTTTAAGCAAGCTAAGGTAAATTATACAAACATTTATGCTACACTTTGCTAGCAGTGATTTAAAGAACAAATAATGTTCACTGCAACAGAAGCTGCAAAATAAAACATGAAACACTGACCTAGCTGACTGAAGACTATGGTGCTGGTTTTCCACCTAAAACGGAATTCAAAAGACCCCACAACAAAGATTAAACACAGGAAACTATAAAGTAAACTGTGGTATTCAAGATCACTTCCCTCCTTTTCTATTTTTTATTTTTTTTAAGTTTTCTTTCTCCAAAACCACTGTTACAGAGAATGGAGAGATCTGTGGCCCTAATTCTATAGTTCATGGATTTTGTGGGGTTAAGATAAATATTTTAAAATAATTTTTTTCAAAGTATATGAAATACCACATGCCTCAAACCGTCCAGGACACCATGGGATGTCAGATTTTTTTTTTAACTACTGAACATGTGCATTAAATTATGAGATACACACTGAAAAACTATTTGCACAGTGGCAAAAACTATTTGCACAGAGGCATACTAGCCAGAACCAGGTGATAGTCTCACCTGGTGCAGAGGCAAAGGCTAGAAATTTGCTGCTGCTTTACAAATGTTGCCTCCTTTTAGCTATCAACACATGTCTTCAGCAGCCATTTAACAATTTGTGGTGCCTAAAAAGTGAGGTAACATCTCTCCCCATAGCATCAAACCTCCAGCCACTACTCCTGCCCTGTGCCACTGCTTCACCTCTGCTGCTCTGCCAGAGCCAGAACTGGACCAATGCAGAGAAGAGACAGGGTATAAGGGACAGGATGGGGGACAGGAAAGTAAGACACCCCCTAATCCTATTCTGGCACCTCTCCCTTAGACAGCACGCAGGGCTTGTGCCTCACTCACCCACCCATTTATATACTACTGGGCTGTACTTAAAAATATATTTATACACATAAGAAAATGGGTTAGTGTGGGAACTCAAGCTCTGGGTGAGGGAATAAGTTCTCTAAAGGCTAAAGCTGGGTCAGATCACAGGGACTGTACTACTGTCATTCAGGTTTAGATCATGAGGAGTGCCCGTACCACTCACTCCGGGTGCTGAAGACACTCCCTCTACACAATTCCAAACTGTGGAAACCACCCAGGCCCACCTTAAGAATAGCCATCTATGCTGGCCTCCGTAGAGTGCAAGTTGTTAAGTATGGGTCTGTGCATGTAAAAATTTCATCCAGGATGCTGAGTTTTTTCAGAAATTAACTTTGTTAGCTCATCCTAGTCCCCAACAAAAGGCACTCTCTAGATCAACTAATACTTTGCAAAATGTCAGTTAAAAATACATTCTTTTCAGATAATACAGAAGAGGTCCTATCAAAATTTTAGCCACAAAGGCTAACAAAATACTCCCCACATTATATTTCCTCACTAGTACAAAATAGAAAATTTGGTCCTAGCCTGGCATTTTGGAACAATCAGCTCATAAGGGTACATAACAAAAATACTACCAACGTTACCTACATTTTTTCAGATAAAGCTGTAATTAAAAAAAATACTTAAAAAACAACAATGCATTTACTTTGCTTTCACAGTACACAAGTTCAATGGAATATTTCTCTTTGTTTGGTTAGTAAGTGATCATTATAGTCTAAAAACATATAAATGCACTTCACTGACAGCTATTCTCCACAACGCTAAGTAAAATACCTAAGATGCTCAATATATTTGTTCTGCTACTTTTTTTTGGTTTGACAAAAAAAATTCATGGGATTTTCCCCCAATCCATTTCTTAAAGCCATGCAGCAACTCACCTACAATGTATTTTGATTCTAAAAAGAAGAAAAGTCTTAGGAACAGTGAAATGTATTTTAAGTTCTAATATTATTTCTTAGATCAGTTCTGCTATTTTTCTATTAACTACTTTCCTTAAGAAAACCAAGGTGAGTCAGTGACTTGCTGTATTAAAAAAACAAACAAACATCAACTAGAAGCTGCATTTGCCTGAGGTCAACTATAAAGCTATTTTTCAGTGCTGTGGTTCGGGCACTTAAATACCATACCGTATATATGTGAGGTAGGTAAAAGAAAACACAGACACACACAACACACCACACGCACACACACACACACACACACACACAAAGATGAACACAATGATTCCTTCTATCTACCCTTCTTTTCTTCCAATCACTTGTTTAGGCTTTGCAATCTTCCTGTACACAGAGCTGTGAAATAGTCTTCTTAATGCGAAGTGCAGTGAGACGGGCTGCTCCATTAGCGTACCAGCACTCACGCATTATTCTGCCCATGACTCTGAGTGCCTTAAGATAAAAGAAAACAGGTTAGAAATAAAAACACTTCTACTGCCTTCATGTAGCAATGAATTAAGAAAACACACTGTAACATATAATAAAATCCTCTGAAATCAAAATCCAGTGGAAGTGGCAGTAAGTTTGGCTACAAAAAGATGTTGCATTTGTCTCAAGATTTCATAGATTTTCACAGGCATTAGAGCTGGAAGGGACCTCGGAAGATCAAGTCCAGCCCCCCGCCCAAAGGGCAGGAAGTCAGCTGGAGTCATAGGATCCCAGCAAGATAAGCATCCAATTTGCTCTTGAAGGTGTTCAATGTAGGTGCCTGAACCACCTCTGATGGCAGGCTGTTCCAGACCTTGGGGGCTTGGACAATAAAGAAATTCTTCCTTATGTCCAGCCTGAAACGGTCTTGCAGTAGTTTACGACCGTTTGACCTCGTCATCCCTTGGGGCACTCTGGTGAACAAACGTTCCCCCAGATCCTGGTGGTCACCCCTGATAAACTTATAGGTGGCCATCAGATCACCCCTGAGCCTGCCCTTTTCCAGGCTAAAGAGCCCCATGGCTCTCAGCCTGTCGTCGTAAGGTCTGTTTTCCTGACCTCTGATCATGTGTGTGGCTCTTCTCTGGACTCTCTCAAGCTTCTCCACATCCTTTTTGAATTGTGGAGCCCAAAACTCGATGCAGTACTCCAGCTGCGGCCTCACCA